TGGAGAGGTTTTTGCCACAGGGCACGTGCGCTTGCCAGAAAGACAGAGAGACAGAAAGTGAGAAATCACCCCACAGGGGGAATGGCCACGCCACAATCTTTTCTCCTCCATTCTCCTCTCAGGATCCTAGGCACACACACACACACACGCCCGGTTTGAGTTTAAGCCACCAGGTCCAGGACTCAAACTGTTATCACCTACATGGGAGTCCAGCGACATAGCCATTACACCAACTACTGGTCCCTCACAGGTTCATCTTATGTAATTTTGCCCAAACCCAATCGGCTACTTCTCCAAGTAGCTTTAGTTTCCTTTAAAGACAGACAGCATTTCAAAATAACAATACGATGCAACCACTTCAGAAAAGTCTGGCAGTTTTTTATTAAGTTAAACACACATCTATCCTATGACCTTGTAATTTGACCCAGGAGAATTAACAAGTATAAGAGGGCCCAGGACATGGTGTGGTGGTTAAGGTGCTGGATTCCCACACGGCAGCCACATAGTTGGAGTCCTGGTCTCGGCAGCTTGAAAATCATTCTAGGTGCATCTGCATGCCCAAAATAATAAAGAGGCAGGATTGAGGCATGGTCATTGACCCTGGATATGATTTCTCATTTTCCCTCTCTCTCTCACTGGCTAAAACAAAATAAAACAAAATATAATATAATATAAAAATATAATATAAAAATAATGCATGACCAAAATCACAAGAGGAAAATGGACAAGAAGGGACTGTGGTATGGCCATCTACCCTGAGGGGTGGTTTTTCACTTTCTCTTTCTTTCTGGTGCACGCTTGCCCTGTATAGCGAAAAAAATCTCTCTATAAAAAAAATTATAAGAAGAGTCTTCAGGGATTAACAGTTGGCATAATGGCCACTGCGGGACTCCCATGTAGTCAACCACAGTTTGAGTCCTGGACCCAGTGGCTTAAACTCATGCCAAAATACTTTTAAAATATAATTAGGAGACCAGCAGATGGCACAGAGGCAGCTAGTCCCACATGGCTGGCTCTGTGGTTCAGGTTCCGGACCTGGTGGCTTGAAAAAACACACTTGGGCACATGTGTGTACGTGCCCAAAATCCCAAGAGGAGAATATAGAAGGGACTGCAGCATGGCCACCTCCCCAGGGGATGATTCTCACTCCTTTCTCCCTTCTCTGTCTCTCTTCAGTGAGTGCATGTGCTCTACAGCAACAAACAAACCCAGCACAAAAAACCAAAATTAAGAAATGCTGTACCACAGATTTACTAAACACTATAGAACAAAGAACTCTGCCAGAGAGAGCTTTGAGGGCTTCAAAGATTCTATTCATAAACCAGCCATTACTATGAGACCTCAGTCTCATCATTTATAAAGAGGAACAGCAATGCCTATCCTGCCTACGTCACAAATTTGTAGGGATGATCAAATGTGAAAAAGCCTATGCAAAGTATAAAGTTATAAACTAATATAAGTATCTTAATATTTTTAAGCAATTCTGGGGACCAGCAGACGGTGTAATGGTTATGTCGGAGTCAACTGTGGTTCGAGTCCCATACCTAGTAGCTTAAAACTCATGTCAGGCACGTGTGCGTGCATGTCCAAGATCATCACCAGAGGAGAATAGAGGAAAAGGCATTGAGGTGTGGCTACCCCATGGGGGGGGGGTGATTTCTCACTTTCTGTCTCTCTCTGTCTCTCCAGTGAGCGCATGCATCTTGTAGCAAATTTTTCTCTCAAAAATAATTTTTTTTTTTACAACAATCCTGAATAGTGAGCCAGGCCAATTTTCTGTAAGAAACTGAGATCTGTCTTAACTACCCTAACCTCTGTTAATGCTGAATTCTTAACTCAGTACTGCCTAAAACAACTGTCTACAATGATGAAAAATATTCAGTACTGGGCCAGCAGGCAGCAAGGAGGTTAGGGTGGCTGGATCCCACATGGCTGGCTGTATGGTTTGAGTCTAGATCCAGTAGCTTGAAACTCATGTGCCGGGGGCGGGGAGGTTATGCGGAGGAGGAGGGATTGTGGCATTACCATCGTGGCTGGGAAATAATTCTCACTTAGTCTTTCTCTGTCTGTCTCTCCCTGGCAAGCATCCTATACTAAAACTACCAAAAACAAACAAATGAAATAAATTAGCATTTGTGCTGTGTGTCCAGTATGGAAGCCACTAGTCAGCTGTGGCTCTTAAATGCTTAAAATACAGCCAGTGTGAATGGGCAACTATATCTAAGACAGCCCAGTCTTAGCTCTCTCTTTCATCTTTCTCTACATCTAAATAATCACCAATACAAAAATACTAACAAAAGAGAAATTTCTCAAAACACCTTTCTCTTAAATATTAAACTTCTTTTTTTTTTTTTTTTTTTTTGTTTTGCTATAGGATGCATGTGCTTGCTGGAGAGACAAAAAGACAGAAAGCGAGAAATCACCCCCAAGGGGAATGACCAGGATGTAATCCTTTCTCCTCTTGGGATTTTGGGCATGTATGCACCAGTCCTGGATAGTTTTAAAGCCGCTGGGTCTGCGACTTGAACTGTGGTCAGCCACGTGGAAATCCAATGACATAACCATTATACCATTATACCAGCTGGTCCCTAAATGCTAAACTTTTAATACTAGAAAAGCATCTTTCATAACTCTTTAGGGTGAAATTATTATTGTGACTATTATTATTTTTATTTATTTATTTATTTATTTATTTAAAAGGTTTTGCTTTGTTAAAGGGCAAGTATGCTCACCAGAGAGATAGAGATACAGAAAGTGAGAAATAACCCCCCCCCCAGGGGGATGGCCACACTTACAATCCCTTCTCCATTCTTGTCTCAGGATTTTAGGCATGCACGCACATGTGCCGGGCATGAGTTTCAAGCCGCCAGATCCGGGACTCAAACCACAGTCAGCCATGTGGGAGTCCAGTGTGATAACCACTATACCATCTGCTGGTATTATTATTATTTTAAAGCTTATCTGTTTTAATTATACATGCATTTCATGAACAGAGAGGCTGCACTCTCAACAGGGTCTTTATTTTTTTTTTTTGGAGAGGGTTTTGCTGTAGGGTGCGTGCACTCTCCAGGGAGAGATAGAGAGACAGAAAGCGAGAAATCACCCCCCAGGGGGATGGCCATGCTGCAAGCCCTTCTCCTCCATTCTCCTCTCCGGATCTTGGGCATGCACGCACATGTGCGGGGCATGAGTTTCAAGCCGCCAGATCCGGGACTCAAACCACAGTCAGCCATGTGAGAGTCCGGCGACATAACCATTATGCCATCTGCTTATCCCATGATTATTATTATTTTAAAGCTTATCTGTTTTAATTATACATGCATTTCATGAACAGAGAGACTGCACTCTCAACAGGGGCTTTATTTTTTTTTTTGGAGAGGGTTTTGCTGTAGGGTGCGTGCACTCTCCAGGGAGAGATAGAGAGACAGAAAGCGAGAAATCACCCCCCAGGGGGATGGCCATGCTGCAAGCCCTTCTCCTCCATTCTCCTCTCCGGATCTTGGGCATGCACGCACATGTGCGGGGCATGAGTTTCAAGCCGCCAGATCCGGGACTCAAACCACAGTCAGCCATGTGAGAGTCCGGCGACATAACCATTATGCCATCTGCTTATCCCATGATTATTATTATTTTAAAGCTTATCTGTTTTAATTATACATGCATTTCATGAACAGAGAGACTGCACTCTCAACAGGGGCTTTATTTTTTTTTTTGGAGAGGGTTTTGCTGTAGGGTGCGTGCACTCTCCAGGGAGAGATAGAGAGACAGAAAGCGAGAAATCACCCCCCAGGGGGATGGCCATGCTGCAAGCCCTTCTCCTCCATTCTCCTCTCCGGATCTTGGGCATGCACGCACATGTGCGGGGCATGAGTTTCAAGCCGCCAGATCCGGGACTCAAACCACAGTCAGCCATGTGAGAGTCCGGCGACATAACCATTATGCCATCTGCTTATCCCATGATTATTATTATTTTAAAGCTTATCTGTTTTAATTATACATGCATTTCATGAACAGAGAGACTGCACTCTCAACAGGGGCTTTATTTTTTTTTTTGGAGAGGGTTTTGCTGTAGGGTGCGTGCACTCTCCAGGGAGAGATAGAGAGACAGAAAGCGAGAAATCACCCCCCAGGGGGATGGCCATGCTGCAAGCCCTTCTCCTCCATTCTCCTCTCCGGATCTTGGGCATGCACGCACATGTGCGGGGCATGAGTTTCAAGCCGCCAGATCCGGGACTCAAACCACAGTCAGCCATGTGAGAGTCCGGCGACATAACCATTATGCCATCTGCTTATCCCATGATTATTATTATTTTAAAGCTTATCTGTTTTAATTATACATGCATTTCATGAACAGAGAGACTGCACTCTCAACAGGGGCTTTATTTTTTTTTTTGGAGAGGGTTTTGCTGTAGGGTGCGTGCACTCTCCAGGGAGAGATAGAGAGACAGAAAGCGAGAAATCACCCCCCAGGGGGATGGCCATGCTGCAAGCCCTTCTCCTCCATTCTCCTCTCCGGATCTTGGGCATGCACGCACATGTGCGGGGCATGAGTTTCAAGCCGCCAGATCCGGGACTCAAACCACAGTCAGCCATGTGAGAGTCCAGCGACATAGCCATTACGCTAACTGCTGGTCCCTACAGAGTCTTGATGCCACAATCCATCCCTGGCTTCAGCCAGCCCTGGATTATGGCACGCGCATGCTGCTCAAGGAGGTCTCTGAACTTCAACTGGGAACCTTCCAATGTGAGACTGCCTTGCACAAGAGCATTATGTTTTAATTGCTGCACCACTGTCCAGCCCAAGTGTGAAACTATGTTTATATGTATTTTAGGAGAACCTAAAACTAACAATAGGCTAATACTTGACAGTGATTTAAAAAAGAAAGCAGTTACATGTTTTATTTTGAAAGATTTACTTTAGCTTATAAATTTGGGAATTTGCAACACAAAAATATTGAGAGTCCTTAGGCAAAGGGTTATGATCATTCAATCAGCCTTACCTTTAGCTCTGCTCGTATGAACTCTTGCACGCACCCAAACAACTTCATCAGCTTTTTTAATTGTCAAGTCTTTAATCCAAACCAAAACTCGATCTGCAATCAACAGTGAAACAATTTTTAAATTCAGAATTTGCAAAGAGATCATAATTATTCTTATCTGACAGCTAGAAGTACTTGGTATCATTTAACTAATTCTCAATCTTTGACAACAACTTCTTCTCTATCACCTTCCACATGTAATTTGCCCCAAGTTTTGTTAATGGTACTTTCTAAGTAGATTCTTTAAAATCTGTTCAATTCTCTGTCTTCATTGGTATCATTTTAAACCAAGCTACTCTTATCTTTTGCCTAAATTATAGTAGCTTCTTAACTGGCTATTCTTTAGTCTGCTTCTAATTCAAAGGCAGTATCAAAACCAAAATATGCTGAACACTTCAATAACTTATAAGGCCAAACACAGTCTTCCCCTGCCTATGCCTAAATAGGCATGACATTTTTTGCCAGGCTGTCACAGTATGTAAGTCAGTCAGTCAGTCATAAGGGAGGATTCATTTAACAATACAAAGAGACTGATCTGGGGAAGGACTGGTTATTCAAACTGAGCTAATCAAAGTCCTTCTCTGGGACTTAACAGAGGCTGGGAGTGAAGCTCTCTTCCCTGGGGTTGCCAAGCTGAGATGGTGCAGGCCGGGAACCTCAGCCACCACCTTTATAACTACATGAGTTTGCGAGACAAGGGAATAAGACCAGTGTCTTTTTTTTTTTTTTTTTAAAAAAAAAGCTTTTTGAGATGGGCATGTGTGCTTGCTAGAGGCAATGAGAGGGAAGGTTCGAAATCATGCCAACAGGGATGACCACACCACAATCCCTTCTCCGTTCTCTTGGGATTTTGGGCACACACACGAGCATGCATCCAGCATGATATTCCTTTCTTTCTTTCTTTTCTTTTTTAAAGGTTTTTGCCATAGGGTGTATATATGCGCCAGAGAGAGAAAGAGAGAGAGAAAAAAAGAGAAATCATTTCCTGGCAGGAATGGTGTGCCACAACCCCTTCTTCATTATAATCTCAGGATTTGGGGCACACACATACACACGCCCACTGTGATTTTCAAAGTGGCAGGTCTTTGACTTGAACTGCACTTGGCCACATGGAAAACCGTTGCCTTAACTACCATGCCACCTGCTGGACCCAAGATCAGTATATTAAAAGAAGCAAAGCCAAGAAATGGAGAAAATGTTGAAGATGTTGCTTGAGTCTTTGGATCCAATCATACTTGAAGCCATGTCATACTTTGTTTCCTGTACCTCTGTGAGCTATCTGGCTGCAAATAAGCCCTGTTAATCATGTCCCTGAATACCAATAACAAAACAGTACATCCATCTACAGTCCCCCAAGCAGAAAAACTGCAACAAAACAACCAATAAGTACAGACAGCTATATGAGGCAACATTAAGAAGTCTTTTTGTTATTGTTCTAATTATTCAATGACTTTACTAGAGACAAAAATATAAGCATTAGTTAAAAATAGAGGAGTAAGACCAGCAGATGGCATGGTAGTTAGGTGCTGGACTCCCACATGGCTGACTACAGTAAGAGTTCCAGACCTGGAGGCCAGAAATTCACACCAGCTGTGTCTGTGCATGCCCAAAATCCAAGGAAGAGAATGGAGAACAGACAGCAGCATTCCCCCTTGGAAGGTGAGTTCTCACTTTTGCTCTCTCTGCCTCTCTCCAGTGAGTGCACTATGGTAAAAACCTTAAAATAAAAAAAAAAAAAAAAAGCAGGCATGCCATTACAACATCAAGAATACATAAAAAATATTTTTCTTCTCAAGAGATATGTCACCTAACTGTAACCAAACTTATCAATACCATTTGTAGCGAAACCTACAATGCTAAATATATATTTTAGAACACTATAATGAAATCAAAATATATTTTATCTACTTTGTTTAGATTCATTTATAATTTGTCTCTTAAAAGAAAGAGTCATCTTAGAATTCAATTGACAAAATATGATTCTCATTGCCAAAACCAAAAAGAATGAAAAAGGAATGCCAAAGCCACTGGGCATCACAGGAGGATTTCTGTAAAACACTGCCAATGAACTTTATTAGCTAAACCAACTGTCAACTCTGCTGTGTACACTCAGGCAAAACAAAGTGTGAAAAAGAGAAAAAAGACAAAATATAAGATTTTAAAAGGCAGGTTTGAAAATGCCAAGATTGAGAAAGCAAATAGTTTACTAAGTAGGCAACCAAAACTCAAAATCAAACAGCAGGGAACAGCACGAACTAGAGTGGAATTATAAATATATGTAATGATGATTATGGCAATGTTAATAACACTTAAGAAAAGAAAAAAGTATCAGCACTTCTTTCTTGTGGCATCCTGATTAATTAGCATAGAGGGTCTCAACCTTTCAGTAGTATTCCAATATACCTGAGGCACAAGTCACTCTCACCATCTGACTAACTCACTGAGGCAATGCTTAGTGGTAGTAGGACTTTAGTTTGAAAAACTATAGCCTATAGACACTTTTAAGTGTTACTGGCATTAGAGTGAAGGAAGAAATGGAAGCAGACAAGAAAGAAACGTTACATTGAGTAAAGTATTAAGAATTTCGCAGTAAAAAGAAAGGCAGGGGCCAGCAAATGGCATGGTAGTTAAGGCACTGAACTCCCATGCAGCCAACTGTAGTCCGAGTTCTGGACTCGGTGGCTTGAAATTCATGCTGGTTACATGTGTGCACACACCCAAAATCCTAGGAGGAGAATGGAGAAGAGGGGATCGTGGTGTGGCCATCCCAAAGTGATTTCTCACTTTCCCTCTTACTGTCTCTCTGGTGAGCACATGCACTCTAAAAAACCTTGGGGGAAAAAAACCTTGGCAGATGGGCTTGGCAGGTGGCACGGTGGTTAAGGGCAATGGTCTCCCACATGGCTAACTGTGGTTCAAGTCCTGGACCTGGCGGCTTGCTTCCTTGCTTTCTCATGATTTTATAATCATGCACAGTAAACTAAATCTGAAATAACAATAATAAAATTGACAAGGAGGCCTATTATTTCCAAAGCATAAAATTCAGAGGCAAGCCCCTAAATATGAAGTAGTAGTTCCAATGAGCCAGAACCTAAAGGTTTATAGGTATACTGAAGATTGAAAGACATAACTTAGAGAATCTATCAAAAGAAAAAAAGACTTAAACAGTTGAGAAGATAAATGTTCAAATTACATATATAAAACAGAAGCAGGACCAGCAGGTGGCGTAATGGCTATGTTGCTGGGCTCCCATGTAGTCAACCCCCGTTTGAGACCCA